GCCCCGGTCGCCCGCCGCTGCTGGATCTGAGGCGGCAGCTGCGCTGTCGGACCGGGCGCAGGTGGGTGCTGCTATTCCCAGGTCGTCACCCGACTCGACCCCCCCCCAACTCCAAATGCTAAATCCCGGGATGAAGGCGCCTGCCCAGATCACTGAAGCGCAGGCGGCTGTGTCCAGGACAGTGGGTGCTCGTGAGCGGGGTCCCTTCCTGATAGACAGTGAGAAAAGATGTGGGAGAGTTGCGGGCAGAGGGACCAGCATGTGCAAAGGCTTGGGTGTGCGGCTGCGTCGGGAGCGTTTGGCACACCTAGGATGCGTGGTGTCTGTAAGGAATGCAGCGTGAGGGGAGGAGGCACATGTGGAATGGCAACCTTACCAGCTGGCCCTTCATTCCTAGGGCGCTCCAGGCCTTGAGGAGTTTGTGAACAGCAAAGGAACACAATCTGGATTAAGACTTTTGAAGTTTTTCAAAGGTGGGTCAGATTGGAGTTAGAGGGAGGGAGACCAATGAAGAGGCTGCTGCAATTGACTGGGGCCAGACCTGAGTGATGGCATTAGTGGAGGCCAAAGCCCCCAGTGTTTCCTGCTGCATCAGATGCTGGGAACGAAGATAGCCAGTGAAGGACCATCCTAAGATTTGTTTATTTTCTTTCTTTCTTTCTTTTTTTCCCTGAACACCTGGGAGAATGGAGATGGAGAAGTTGGGTGGAGGGAGCAGGTCTTGTGTTGAGGGGGAGGTCAGGGTTTTGGACTTGGTGATTCTGAGATGTTCCAGAAGTGTGTGTATGTGTGTGTGCGCGTGTGTGTGTCACATGGACAGCTGGACAAGCAAGTCTGCAGTTTTAGGAGGAGTCTAGGCTGGAGATGTCGAGGAAACTTCAGATGTGGATCAGGGCATAGCCAGCGGGTCAGATTTAGGGGCGGGAATCTTAAGGTTATGTCAAATGAGCCTGAAGTGACAGGGAGGGCTGGAGAGTAGGTACAGCGGATGGGCATCCCCAGAACTGCCTCCAGAGGGGAGGAGGCCTTCAGCCCTAGTGGCTCTGGCTATTCTCTGAGGAGAGAGAGGCCTGCACTGGGTAAGGAGCCTGAGCTGGGGAATGGTGTGTGTTCACTGCTCTGTGAGCTCAGCAGGATGTGTCTACTCCCTGTGAGCAAGAGAAGAGTCGGCCAGGCCAGGCCAGGCCAGACCAGTGTGTCAGCTCCTTCAGCTGTCAAGCCCCGTAGGCAGGAGGGATGATCCAGTGTTCCAATGAAAGTTTCCTTGAGCAGGTTGGCCTTCTGGGGACCATGCAGCAGGCCAGCTGTACTGCTGAAAGAGCTAGCATCCCACTGGCCTCTTGACTCACTCCCCAGAATTTGTTTATGAAATAATTGCTACTTTAAACATTTCTCTAAAGAAAAACACATGATAGAAATTTAAAATGTGGATTTAACTAGTAGAATGTATACAAATTCTTACTAATTGTTTGAAAAGTTACTACACCTCTAAGCATTTGATTAAAATCAAGAGTCTTAAATATCACGTTAATTTAAATGCTTAAAAAGCAGGAAAGCCACCCACATTTTCAAAAGCTCATCACCTTATTTGCTCCCAAGCATTTACCAAAGTGTTAAACCTGTGGACAGTAAAAGCTGATATTTAGGAGTTGACATGTACCAAAGTGTTTGATACCAACAAAGCCCTCAGAGATGGGTACCATTTTTATGCCCATCTGACAGTTGAGGATGTCGGTGCAAAGAGAGGTTGAGTCCTTATGCGAGTTCATGCAGCAGCTACACAGCAGCGCGGTGATTTGAATCCAGGTGTCCCTTTGGATGTAAACATACACCAGGTCGTTAACTCTCTATCAGTCATCCTGATTACTCTCACCATAGCCCTGATGGCTCTTAGGACTTGCCTTATTTTTACAGTAGTTGTCCACGTGGCTTCATTCCTAACTTCAGGACCCCCTCCCCACCCCCAGTGTCCCCTCCTCAGAGAAGCCTTCCTTGGTTGCCCTGTGGAGAATCACCCTAAGTCTCTCCTGTCTCACTCTTATTCTGTTGCCTTCAGGATTCTCTTGCTCATTCGTATAGGTCCTTGTGGTTGATCTGTCTCTAACTCTGGAATGTGAGCCCTGCTCATGCTCTCTGCCCAGGCCTAGAGCAGTGCTGGTCTGGACCAGGTGCTCAGTGAGTGAGTGACTGATGCTCCCCTCTACAGGCTCCCCTCATGCATAGAATAACTCTAGCCTCCCTGCCGTGACTTGGAAAGTCCCATCTGATCTGTCCTGGGGGACCACCTCTGACTGTGTCTCCTATTCTTCCCTTGCCCACTGCCACCCAGCCATGACAACCTGAATATGTCAAGCTCCTTCCCTGTTTCCAGCCTTTGCCCTTGGAGTTCTCCTCGATCGGGACGCTGTTACCAGACCACTTCCTGTCTGCCCTTTCACATCCTTACGGGCTCTGCTCACATGTCAGCTCTTTGAAGAGGCCTTTCCTGGCAGTTCTAGCTAAAATAGCCCCTGTCCCCTCCTGCCCTCACTTGGGCATTTTTTTCTGCAGGGAATTTGGCACAATTACAAAAGCAAAGATGCAGGCTGAGTTGAGCTTGTCCAGGTTGCTGAATAAATAGAAATAAAATAGGAAAAATACTAATAACAAAACAATCATAAGAGTTGGCCTGTGATATGCACTGAGGAGCCATTATTATGGACCTCCTCACTTAAATCTCACCTTCTTAGAATTAGATTTTCTTATTATCCTTACTTTACAGAAGAGGACATTGAGTCTTTGAGAAGTTGTGTTACCTGCCCAAGGTCACACAGCTCTAAAGTTGCCGAAACTCAAACTCAGCACATTGGCCTCAGAGCCTCCGCTCGTAACCATGACAATACCCACAGTGGGCTGGGGTGGCCTCGGGGAGACACCTGAAGTCAGCTCTGCAGGGTGGGTTTGGGTTTAGGAATGAGGAGGGCATAGGGGGCATTCCAGGCAGAGGGAACCACGTGGGCGAGGGCGGGGGTGTGTGTGTTGCAGCAGGCATGAGAGGGCCTGCGTGGCTGCTGCGCAGGTCCCGGAGGGCAGATAATGAGACAGCTTGCTTGATGCTCATCTCACCCTGATTGTGGTCATGGAGGAGCATGCAGGTTATACACATGGACCTGGAACCAGAGGGACCTGACTTCAGCACGCTGCTTATTTGACATGTGACTCTGGTTGACCCTCCCTGAGCCTAGCATGCTGACTGTGACATTGAGATCATGCTGGTGTTGACCTCACGGGCTTTGGGAAGAGAGATACAAGTAGCCAAAACACACTGAGCACAGCCATGTGCCTGGCATCCCAGTGTTTGCCTGGGGAACATTTTCTGTTTCATCCTCACAATAGCCTGGCGAAGTGGGAACTTTTAGTGGATTGATGCAGAAATCGCTGTTCAGAGAAATGAAGTGACCTCCCCGAGGTCACACAGCTGGTACGTGTCGGGCTGAAGAAGCTTGGTTCAGACTTAGGAATCTGGCTCCAGTGCTGGGGACGGTTCAGGTTCATCACTTTAATACGGCGCGTGAGGCGCTCAGCACGGAGCCAGGCACACAGCGAGGACCAGTGAGACTCGGCAGCTGCTGCTGCTGGTGCTGTTACCATTACTGGTGTTACGATTATTATCAACATTACTTCCTCTGACGTGCTCCAGTGCTTACTCTCTCTGTCCTCATCTCAGGACCCAGGGACTTGTTACTATCTTGTGTCATTCTCCGGTGGCTTCCCCTAAAGAAGACTTCACTCTGACCCCATTGTGTTCTGTGCACCTCCTCCTTGAGCCGCGCAAAGAGCTAGGCCCCCAGGCATACGGGGATTCAGGCCTTGGGCCCCTCTGGATTGTTTCCAGTGACCGAGTGACAGATTCTGATCACATCCTATAATCACAAGGTCAACATCCCTGTCTCTCTTTGACTTTCTAGGGATCGGAGGATGTGGCTATGACCTTCACTTTGGGTTCCTGGCCTAGAAGACCTAACCCAAAGGGCCCTGTTCGAGGAGGTGATGCTGCCCAGCTGGCTGACCTGCTTCTGCTGGGCAGGTCCTCGCCTGTGCCACATTAGAGGCCCCACAGCTGCCTCCGCTCTGCCCCTGTGCTCCAGGCCTGGCTCTCCCCGGGGGCCTGCCCTCACCCCTCCCTGTAGCTCCTGATGTCCTGCCCTGTCTCCCTGTGTCTCTCCCAAGGATTGGTGGGGCTAGAATCAGAGTCCCCTTCAAGATGATACAAAACAAAGGGAGACTTCATTAGAAGGGAATGGGGTTATATTGCAGAAACCAAGGGCAGGATGTCCAGCTGGGCCCCGTGAGAGGCTGAAATGCAGAACTGAGCCGAACCGCCATCTGTCTCGGCCTCAGGTCTACGGCCACGGCCTCTCTCTTCGCGTCGGCTCAGGCTGCTCTCGGCCCAGTGGCTCTTTCTGCTGCAGTGAGTTTGAGGCAGGAATTGGTCACCCCAGTTCTCACTCTCTGAGATCCCAGATTCCTTGCCTCTACTTTTCTCTGCAGGCTTCACCTTTTTCCTCTCAAGCTCTCTCTGCACTTGGACTTGTCTGCGTGGTTGTCCTTGAGGCAGGAAATGGAGCCTGCATTTCCCTCGACTTTTCACCCCCCTGCCCGTCGCAGGCTGGCCTCAGTCTGAGCTCCTCATCCCAGGTTTCCACACGGGGGAAGCCGGCTGGCCTGGCGTGGTGGAGGAACGGGCCCCGACAGCAGGGACTGGTGACGGGCTGTTCTCCAAGGAGGGGGGTGAGTCAGACCAATGCCAAGAAGGCATTTGTCATCACTGTCGCCTGGTACCTTTCAGAGGAAAACACAGCTTCGGTTAAAGGGTGAAAGCTCAGTTGTGCCCAGGTGCCTGCAGGGTCCTCCCCTGTTTCCTGAGGCCTGGGCCAAGACCTCCAGGGGTGCGCGAGGTGATCACGTCGCCACACGGCACTGACGGGCAGCCTGAGAAAGCCGTGCCTTTCCCTCTTGTCTGTGGTCAGCATGGAGGGAACAGCGACCATTCTGTGAGCACTGCCCAGCTGTCAGGCCTGC